ATTTCTTGAAATGTCAGATGTTCCAAGGACTATTATTAATATCTTTAGTTTTAACTAATCATTTGATCAGAATTCTGATTTGTAATACAGATATGGCAGCATTTAACTCTATTTACTCTATGGCCAGCCATGTGTGAAGGTATCACCATTTCTTTTTTAAAATGAATCCACTTCCAGATTTTGGATTGAAGTAGAAACTTGAGAATAATGAACTAGCAAGTTATTCTATTCATTTTAAAAATATTTTAATTGCCTTTTTACTATTGGGAACTATGTGGTTTTATTTCAGGCTTTATATGGGTAGATGTATACTACAATAACCAGGACACTTGGATCCTATTCTATAGGAGTTCTGTAGAAATAATAGCAGAAGCATATCTAGATTTCTGCTCATCTTGCTACATGTTTGCATTTTATAAAGGGTAATAGATTTTTTCAATAGAATTAATTAGGACATTAGCATGGAGATGTAATATACACATGCAATGTCTGCCCACAGAAACAATGTATAATTAACATCATCTTATGCTCTCTCTCTCTCTTGTCCTTGTTCACCACTGGATTGAAGCTCTATTGCAGCAACAGCAGGCGTCAAATAATTACTATATTCAGCAGACTTCCCTTGAATCTTGTGCCCTCAGATCAGCACAGCCCATTTTGCTCTCTTGGCTTCATTGCTTTATGAGCTTGTTGGTTCACCAGTCTTTGTTTTTAGTAACCACTTGAAACTGTGCCAAGATATCTGCAGTCTAATTCTGGTTCTGTACTGCAGGTTCTCAAATAAACTGTAAACATCAATATAACTACAAAGCAACAAAGGATAAAATGTGTGTTTATGAGACGGTTTCACACCAAACTTACCTCCTTCACTCTACGGGCAGTGTTTGCTGATTTTGAGAGAAAAAAAAACATTGTTTTCTTTTGTTTGTAGTGTATGACTGAATACTTATTACAACTACGTTGGTTGGGTGAATATGTCTGCACCAATGGCTAGTTGCACCCAATGACCATTTTAATACAGCTGGAGTTATTTACCACGTACAGTAGCGGAGCAATTAAGAACGGGGAATTTAAATTTCCTGTTCCAAATCTTTGTAGCTGGGAGCTGAGGAGAACTGGCCACTTGATGGTCTTAATTCTATATTTATGCTACACTTTTTAGTGTGTGTTCAGTTTGAAAAATGATCAAACGACAGTAATGCTGACCTAGTATAATGGGGATATATTTCATAATTTGATTGGTTTGCCTTCTCTAAATCAAAGATTGAAAGTATTTTATTTGTGTGAAAAATATGTCTAGAGGTCCATGAAATTCAGCTTGATATAAGAGTTCAGGTACAGTACACTTTTCAAATGTGCTCTTTTGTACTGTCAGTATAATCTTGTTCAGTCCAGTGAAATGTGCAGTTGATTTCACACCATTTAAAAAAAAAATGTGCCTACACTGGGAATGTGCCTACATTGACATCCATTTTCAGCATCAAGCATTCCCTAAGTCAGGTTATGACACAAAATTGTAAGTCTGAATGAATCAGCTATCTATATCTTTTAATTTGAGCCCAGAAAGTACATTGCTATTCTGCTTTTTATAAATTTTTATTTATTATTGGCTCTATTTTTGTCCCAAAGCTGACATGTTGATGTGTGACGGCACAGTAAAGATCAATATAATTGATGGTTGTGTAAGAAATAATTTGCAGTTAGCAGCACATTCTGTTCACATTGAGGGGGCAAGAGAGGCTTCACTGAGATTGGAGTGATATTAGACAGATAGCTATCCATGTTGAGGATTGAGTGAGTTACTCATGCCTGATTCATTTGATTTATTTTTGTAAATTAAGGCCTGCTGTGTATTTTTAAGCCTCACGCTGACCGTTACAAGAAAGACTTGAAACCCAGCTGCTGTAATCTGCAAATTCAGTATAACAAAACATGTAGCAACGCGGACATTAGTAAGTTCTATGGTGGAGGTTGATTGGCTGGATTCTATCTTGTGGAGCAATACCGTCATGCAGAGTTTTAATTGTTTTTTTAAACAATTCAGAAAATATTTTTTTAATGATAAATTACATTGAATTGAAAAACTTAGACAAATTTGAGAAGTTGCCATTGGTTACCATATGTAATTTTCTTAGTTGTGTAAGGAGCTTCAGTAATCTACTGCAACTATATCTAATGTGGCTAAATAAGTGTAAATCTAGGGACAGTGGAAGCAGAAAATGTTATTTGTTTCAAGAACAAATTAGATAGATTTCTACTGGAAAATAATCTCATTTAATAGTTTGGGAGACGACATGTCAAGCGACTGCCAGGATGGTGGAAGGAGAACAGGATGAACTTTGGTCTTCATTTGCCTAGCAAATTCTTATGTGGCATAAAACTATATAAGTGGTTTATTTAACAGAAGGGAACGGAGTAGATTTCTTCAGTAAACTGCCCCTTTGCCCACTCCAAGTTGAAGTTTATAACTGCCAAGTTTCTTCCAACTGAAGTCTGATTTAGATGATGGCAGGTTTTGGTTTTCAAACACACATTTTCTATCTGTCTTTATCAAAGTTAGGATCCAAAAGATTACTTCAATGCTGCAAAGTAGTCCTTTCACAGTCTGCATCAATGCTATTTATGGTTTTAAGGAGGTTAATTACTTTACAATAATTGTCTGGTACTTGTAGCAGAACATTGTATGAGACCAGAACCTCTTAACCTGCACGCACATTGTTGCCTTTAGACAGGAGTTAGCTGAAAGCAAATCAAAGTGACTATATAGGTCCAACTTTAGAATTGCTAGCAAAGAGGTTGAATTACCACTCAATGCTCTTCCCTTTGGTGGTGCCTTTTCTGGCAGTCAACTGATTAAATCTTGTGTACTGTACCATACCATGCCTGCATTCTCAGTTGGTATGGAATACTGGCAGTTCAAGCGGCCCGTCACTGCTGGAGCATGGCAACTGATGTTCGTGCTCTTAAAAATACTTGTTTTGAAATGGTTTCTAAGTGTGCTACCTTCTCAGCTGTAACGTAGAAGGCTTTTGCAAGTAAACTCATTTGATTAAATCTTTCTGGGATATACGGCCCATTAAGTGATTCGCTAGATAGAGTGAGGATTTTATTTTCATTAATTTGTTATTGTGCCCATGGACTAATCAGTAGGTACAGATGTGCAGCAAGTGTACCAATTGGCAGCTACTTCTGACCCATATACAGTTTGAAATTTATCTTTCCAACCTATTAATTGTTTTCCAATATCAGTGCCTTATATCTTGGGTTGTAATTTATTGTAACCTTAATATTTAATTTATTTTTTTGTTTTAAGATTTTATTTTGTTACTACAGTAATATGCATTTAGATGTGACCTGGGACGTCCTCCTGACGTGAAAGGCACTGCATAAATGCAATTTGTTGTTAACTCCGCTTTGCACATTCCATCCAGTGCAGTGAATGTTGCAAGCTCTACAGTATGTGCAGTGTTTTATTCAGTCAGATTGCTCAGAATAAATGTTTATTTGAATCGTGTATCCTTGAGAGGTTTATATCACCTCTTTTCAAATGGCTTGAAGCTGGATCCAGTACTCATTAAGGAAATGGGTACCTCTAGTCAGATTTCCCAGTGCAATAAAATGAATCAAGTGGCTTATTTGTGTCTTTGTTTCCTGTGACATTGGGTATAATACAGTTGGTTATGTTAAATTGAGTAAAAAAAAGTACAGAATTGGGAAAGTTACTGAATTTATATTTATAATTCATGTGAATTTATATGCAAGGATATTAGATCTATTTCCAGTCCAGTGCGTATCCTTCAGCAGTCTTAACTGATCTTCATTGTATGAAGTCTATTATGGGAGGAAAAAAAGATCATGTTAGTTAGAACAGTAGCTAGTTAACTAACAATCCAAAATATTTGCCTATAGATGGTGTCAGGCTAGCCACTTCCACACATTGAAACCAGCTTCTTATTGTGCTGCCTTAAATATCCTAGTTTGCACACTTGTGGAGTTCCAAAACATTAGAATAGTTGTTGTCTTCTTAACAGAGTATATTTAATATCTTCCCCTTTTCTAATAGTTCCAGTTTGAATTATTCAATTTGTACTGTGGTCCACTTACATTCATTCAATCGCCCTTGATGCATTAGATGATGGTAACTGCACCAAAATGCAACAACTGGCATCTCAGCCAGAATAATTCATTGGTGATTAGTTGTCTTTTCAAGGCAATTCCTGGCCACCATCTGTTTTGTATAAAATAATCATTTGACAAACCTACCTCATCGCCGCAGTCATTTTATCATTAAATTTTATCCAATGCAATTTCAGTGCAGACAGATCATCACACAATCAAATCTACCCAAGGACATTGTTTACCAATCATCTAAGTCTTTAAGACCACGATAGTGCAATTTTTTTTCTAATATTAACATTCTTGGGGATGAAATTGTGCTCATTGATTAATGTGATAAAAGTGTGTGATTGCACTTTGAAGATCGTGGTTTTCAAAACTTTCTTAAATGTATATTTTGGTAGAAAGTGTGTGAATCAAAAGCTTATAATGCAAACCAGGGCACATTTTGTGCACCTGCAGGACTAGACTGCATGGTTTCTCACTGGGCTGGAAATTGTTGAAACACTCATCTTACTACTGTCTAGAACCTGCATATTGCTTCCAAAACTAAATCTGGAAAAGCTTAAACTTCCCATGGATGGGTAACTGCTAGAGAAATTGCAGTATTTGTTTTTCCCACTTAAAAGTTCTTCATTGCAATTACTCTTATCAAGTTTGCAATACCTGAACACCATTAAAAATCCCACATTGTGCAATTCATAATACGCCACTTTCCATTTCTGTACCAAATATTGTGATGTGCTTTCCTTAAGCTAAATGTACTGATAGTTAACTTCTTAGAATGAACTCTTTGTTATAACCTCTCTAAAGTTAAGAGTATTCTCCTAGATTAAGGCTGCTTTGACTGCTCTGTTACTGCGTTTCTACTGCCCTTCCTCCAGCTGGGTTTGTCAAGTCACCTTTGTCAGAAACTAAGCTGACAGGAGACACCTTCGAGCTGTACTGTGATGTGGTAGGGAGCCCCACACCGGAGATCCAGTGGTGGTACGCTGAGGTGAACAGGCCCGACTCGTTTAAACAACTGTGGAACAACGCTCGGAAGCAGCGGGTTTCGATAAACACCGCTTACGGCAGCAATGGAGTGAGTGTGCTGCGTATCACCAGGTTGGGCCTGGAAGATACAGGTACTTACGAGTGTAGGGCAAGCAACGACCCCAGAAGGAATGACCTCCGGAAAAATCCAGCCATTGCCTGGATACGAGCTCAGGCCACTGTTGTCGTCCTACCAAGTGAGTGCTACATATAGTGGTCCTGTACATACCATTGGTGAAAAAGACCAATAGTATGTGTTCCTGTGTCATTTCGCACCCCCCCCCACCCCCCCATATCTTGTCTCCTCCAAAAAAACCTACCCTTCTGCGTTACACCATTGTAGACCTCCGTTCCCCTTTAGTACTCCAGAACTGCTTGTATTGTTGCAAGGTGCCTTGCCTCTCCCTGATGATGTCTTCCAGTATGTGCAACTCCTTATTAGAAGAAACCTAGAATTTAGACCTTGCTGCTGTTGTAGCTAGTTCAGCTTTATCCGTATAGTGTGAACTGTAATGTTTCTGACCAGATCCTGACCCTTTCTAAGTAAACACATTCTCTGGTAAAATTGTGAGCTTTGTAGTAGTAGTTTTTTTGTTGTTGGTATTCATATTGAGCCTTTTAGTTTTTTTAGATGAAAAATCTAACTGATCAATTTTCTTTTTGAAGCAGCTGAGACCAGCTTCTGGAGTGCTGTTGAATGTGTGGGTGTTTGTATATAGGTATTGTATGCTGGATGCTAGACAGATGGCATAGCGAACTGCAAAGCGAGGCACTCTGAATGCTAATAGGTTTCTGTGGCTAGCGGGGCAGAAACATTATTGTAATGTGGTTTCAAAAATAAGATTTTTGAAAACCACCATTATAATGCAGAGCTGGAATTGTTTAGCGTACTCGCTATCTCAGTTAATTATCCTAAATAAGGAATTACAGGGCATTAAGCGGACGTTAAGTGGAGTTTCACTATTTAAATAGCTCTCGTAGTCTCTTTGTGTGTTAATGGCTGCTAAGATTCAGCTGCCTCTTAAATGAGGCAGCTTTTTGTTCCATATCCTGAGGGCGAAATGAATCAAACTGTAGCAATAAGCAGTACAATCTAAGTCTACCTGTGATCATTGAATGTCTCGCATCGCTAGGAGTGGTCTGACCTAGGCAGCAAGCTTCCTGCAGATGTATATGCACCAAACAATTGCTAAAGTTGTACCAAACATAATACTTTTTTTTATTGTTTTGGCTGCTATACAACAACCTTGGCTTAAAAGTTGTACCCAGGTTTTCACTTCAGAACTGCAAATTGTATGAAATATATTTTGCTAAATAATATACATCCAACATAAAAAAGACTTGAATTCTACTCATACACCATATCAAACCTCCTAACTTTGGGCACCCAGTGTGGATGCTTTTTTTTGTGTGAAACAAAATCGATTTGCTGAGTATCAGAGTGTGCTTTTAATGGAATCTGAAAGCTTCAAATATCCTCAAACTCAAAACAATTTAACCAACCCAAATAAAGCAATATTAGTAGGCGTTTTAATTTTAATTTCAAGGTGGTTATGGTCACTAATGATCCTCTGCTGTTGGCAACTTAATACTGTTCTCATCGTCAACTTTCAAAGTGTTTCTAGAAATAAATATCTACTTGAACAGATGGGCTATTTTATTTATTTAACCTTAACAAATACTCTATATGTTCTTTTTGGACACTGCAAGTGTCAAACCATCTTTCTATTACTGATGATCATCACCTACATCTATGTAATTTTCATGAAATCCAGTGTTGTTAATCTTTAGATTGATTGAGAGCTCAGCTCACAGTTCTTAATTCCATATTTTTTCCTGAGAATGACACCCAAAAAAATCTTGGGGTGGAAAGAGACCCAGGGAATAGAAAATTGCATTTCTGCCATTTTGTTACAAGTCCGTGCTTCATTGAAGGTAGGTGGTGGCATAGATTTTCAAAAGTGCTTCAGACTAGGTCTAACAGTTAAGTCATTTCAACAGACCTCAAAAGTCCAAATGTCAGATTTGTGAAACACCTGTTCTTATTTTGTTTCTAAATGAACATTTTACTGCCCTGAGATGGGTGTTTAAATTGCATCTACCATAAAATCTGAGACTTTCTTAAAAACAATTCTTTGCCCCGTATCTAACCAGACAAGGTCTAAGCATTCGGGAGAAGTTGCAACAGCTTTCTACTATTGTTAATACTAGTTTATCCCAGTTTGAGAAAGTACTGTACCTTTAGGAGAAGAAAACAAATTTGAATGGAGGGAAGCTTAAAACCCTGGTTTAGTTACCAAAGATCAAGCTGCAGACTCCAAAACCTTTTGTGCTGCTTATCAATTAAGCCAGCCTCCTTTTAAACACCCTGGATAGTGGGGAACAGTCAAATTCAGAATTGGAGATGTCGCATTATAAAAGCTTTCAGGTTTGGGAGTTTCTCTTAGCGTTTTGGACGAGATGAAACTGTTACACCATTTACCAAACACTTGCATAGAATCCTTTGTTTTTTTCAGTAGTAGTGGTAAGTTACTCAACTAGCTAAAATAGGACGACAAAGACCAGTTTCATTGGTGAGTAGACACTGAAGACAATGATCCTGTTATTGGCAGATTCGTTTACCCCATGCATTAACTATGCTCTTACCCGTCTCTTGTTCCCAAGAGTATAGTTGTTGTGCTAGTCTGTCTGTCTGTCTGTCAGATATTTCCTAGTGGTGATAGTTCTGAAAGCCAAAGTTTTAATGGGATCATGTCTTTGAGATTTAGTGACTGCAATATTAATAGTGATTGCTTTTCAGTGTAACGTGGTGAAATGTATACAGTGCTTCTCTTTGACGTTTATACTGGCTGGGGTCGATAAATTGACAACAAAGTCATAACTTGCACAAAATCACCAGGAGATGTAGCTTTCTATTAAAATGCACTGGATCTTTGTGTCCAAATGCAGATGATACTTCAATGGCAAATTGATAGCAATGGAAAGGTAAAACCAAACATTTTGGCAGGTTCATCTATCAGTGTAAAACCAGCCTGTAAAGTGCCAAATGGGAGCCTGTTAAAGTAATGTACAATTCACGATGTGTAGTTTTACTGCTCAGGCCTACTCTGCAGTCCGTTATGATGCCTGTCAAGCAACTCAGTAAAAATCAAGTGAGATCACAACCTGATCTTTAAAGCTGCAATATATTATGACGCCACAAATGTATTTCCATATGCATGTTTTACTTTGATTGTTTTGTTTTCCAAGTTGATGGTTTTACAGGAATAGAAAATCAGCAAGCATTTTATTCAAACTGATTAGTAAGATCTTCAAAACTCCAATTTAGCAATGTTGATGCTGTGCATATGCATTCATTGCTTTCCTCTTAATATGTGTACTATCTCTCGTACTACCATTCAGTTTTGATTGGAAAACAGATGGCGGTGATGGTACAAGAGGCAGCATGGATTACACATTTTACACATGTTTGACTGTATGTATATAGCCGTAAGTGCCATTCATTGCCACAGATAGTCCAAGTCCCCAGTTAACACTACAATGTTCTGGCAAGTAACTCATGATACAGTTTACTTGTCAGGAGGACAGTGTTGCATTTCTTTGATAGTTCCTTACCTAAGATGATTAAGTAAGCAAATTTAAAATGCAGTATGTATATTTAATTGTGTATATGTATTAAATTTGCCTCTCCTGCAGTGAGCTTCAGTAATTTCAATATATCAGCAGCATTCTTAATGGAGTAGGGGTAAAATATTGATGAGTACAGAATTCATGCAACATATCTACATAGAAAAGCTCAAATGTTAAATATTCTGAGAAGAGAGCCAAGGTACCTTCTGTATATTTCCATGTGACTTTTTGACAGAATAATCCATACAACCACTCTTTAGCATGAAAATGCTTTATGCTATAATGCATCAACATTTGTATGCTTGTAGGAATTTGAGGGAAGAATCTACGCCGTAAATGGACTGAAATCTGTGTATCCATCTGATGTATTTGCATTTTGTTTAATACGCCAAATAAGTTCTGAGCTGTTCATCTAATCTGTTGCATTCATATAATATATTGCAGCTACCCTCTAAGTTTCTTCAGATTTTTTTAAACAAAATAATTTAATTCCATTAAACTAATTCTATTATGAGTTTTTACGAAAATTTTTGCATTGATGGTAAATTGCATATTTCAATCGGAAAGGATTTCAGCACTTGAATGAATGTCTGTTTCAGCACACTGTGGAAGGTATTGGCCATGTACAACTTATGGCCTTTTTGATAAAAATGTTTATTTTCATTGTTTTTATAATTTATTTTTACATTTTCTTTAGCTGGGATGGTTGCTTTTTGTTATGTTCTTGCTCTGTTGTGTAACTCAGCTTCTTTGACAAAGTCCACAAATTATTTGACAAATACCATTGGGTGTTTTATATAACCCTTGAACAGTTGATAGTTCTGCATCAAATGTACAAGATACTGTTGCTGCTTTCGAGGAAATATGAATTCTGTATTGTAAACAACAGATAAGAGAATCAAAGCTGTCTTAAATGGAATTTATTTTTTGATAGTATAATAGTAAGTGGACATCTATACTCAAAGGGTTAACGACTTGTGACCAACCCAACAATAAAGTTATTATTATTGTTATTAACAATAATAGTTTGAAGGCTTTGATTTCCCACAGTTTATTAATTTGATCTTCCCCTGAAAGCTCAAATAAACCTGAAAGGTTTATTGTACTGCTTGTAACTTTGATTGTTAACGTAATGTGCAAAATAAATCATGTTTCCGTCCTGATTGATGTCTTTATGACAGTAACTGCAGTCGGTAAGTAGAGAGCCTGGGCAACAGCATTAAGCCATGTTGCAAAGAATGTTCCCGATGCTGAGAGCGTCCAGCAATGGAGTGCTTGCAAACCAGCCTTTTGTATATTATAACCTTTAAGGTTGATAAACAAGATGACATGATGCCGTTGAAACTATGTTTGGATTTAACCCTCTAAAACTAGCAGTAGAACATTCATCCCAGTCATTTGAATTCAACTACTGTTATTATTCCATGGAGCATAAACTTATAGTAATGAACTTCCATGGAGCATAATCACTTGTAATGAGTATATTAGTATTTTACAAAATAGTAAAAGTTAGTGATAGCTTTCATTGCAGCACTAATTAGCGCACATCTGTGGATAAACTGTTTTGAAACAATAGCTTTGTAAAAGACAAGTAACTGATTCATTGAAACACTTTTTGGCTGATGAGTTTTGGAGGTTGGCTATATTTGCAGCCCATTCAGCGCCAGTGTTGATTCCAGTAACTTATATTCTGCTCTGTATGTTCCAGAACCACGGATCAATCCATCTGAGGAAGTTATTTTACCAACTTCGAATCCTATCGTCGTCTTCTTGCATTGCAACCTGACATCTGCACCAAACCCCACTAGTGGCAGTTATTGGATGAAAAATGGGGAAGAGATTTCTGGAACCAGAAATGTATCAGCCTCAAACATCACCGAGTACAAGTGAGGACTGTGAAGACGTCCTTGAATTTCCTTTCTGGAATGAATGATGAAAAGGGGGTTGACTGAGAATCATATGTAAAAAGCTTTGTCTCGGTTAATCGTCATAGAAAAAAATTTGTTAGTGGCCCTGAAACATCAAGTCAATGAATCTAATTCAGGATGTTTTTGATGCTCATTTATAGTTCAAACAAACACTAGGTAGCTCATGTTATCTGGTTACGCATTTGATTGAATAAGTTAGAATAAAGTATGAGGAGGTATTGAAATGCTTAATGTACAATGCAAAATTACATTTGCATAGCCTCTTTCATGTCGGGAGGACGTTCCAAGGCACTGAATAGTCAGGGTTTGGAACGTGATGAATGGGAGGTGGGGATAAGGGAGGGTAGGAGGGTGGTCATAGACATAGTCGAAGAGGAGAGTCTTGAAACGTAGTATAAGTAATGTATAATTTCCTGAATTTTTAGGACAAGCCACGTGAACTGAACAATTACTACAAGTATAGCAATGGCTAGATATTTTATCATTTGCTTGATTATCTTTGGGGAGCTTAATCTAAGGAGAAATTGGGGAGCCTTCTTTAGGAGATTCATCAAATGGTGTTGAGCCCATGTTGAGATTATTGTAACTAGCCTTTAGAAGAAATGAATAATAATAATCCTTGCATTTGATATATTGCCTTATCACATTGTTAAGACGTCTCAAAGTGCTTCACAGAATATACTGTAAAGTGAATTGACTGTATTTTGTGGGCGAAACTATTATTGGCTAAATCACTTGTGTCTTGCCCTATTAATTCGGCTCACCTTTGCCACTCTGGTGCAGTTTTGAAAAACTGAAGGTGGGAGGTGCAAATATGATTATCTGTCTGTTCTTTCCTGCTAATTTGAATAATGTTCATATTGAACAAAGGGGAAGCATCCTCGGGAAATGGTCGCTACTGCCAAACTGGCTAAATCCCAAACTGAAGCTAGCCTGCCCAGTATTTGTGTAACTTTCTCCAATGTTGAGTATTTCAAGATTCAAACATTTGAATGAATGACCCTGATGAATGTTATGATGAACCTTTATAAAACACTGGATAGACCTCAGCCAGAGTACTGTGTTCAGTTCTGGGCACTACACTTTAGGAAGGATATCAAGGCATTGGAGAGAGTGCAAAGACATTTACCAGGATGGTACCAGAAATGAGTGACTTCAGTTATCGGGAGAGGCTAGAGAAGCTAGGATTATTCTCCTTGTAGCAGAGGAGGTTACAAGTAGACTTAATAAAAGTTTTCAAAATTATGAGGGGATTTGATAGGGAGAAACTATTTCCACTGGTGGGTGGGTCGGTAACCCGAGGGCACCGGTTTAAAATAGTTGTTTTTAAAAAAAAAGGAGAGGTGAGGAGAATTTTTTTTTACACAGCGAGTTGTTCGGATCTGGAATGCATTGCGTGAAAGGGTGGGGGAAGCCGATTCGATAACAGCTCTTATGAGAGAATTAGATAATTATTTGGCGAGAACAAGTTTGCAGGGTTATGGGGAGAGAGCAGGGGAATGGTATTTGGAAGCTCTTTTCAAAGAGCTGGCACAGACACGATGGGCTGAATGGCCTCCTTCTGTACTATATGATTCTATGATTTTACGTTACTGCATTTCTACTGAGTGTTCACTGTATTTTTAGCAGTATAAACTGAGAATTAGATAGCAAATGGTGTTGAAGCTTCTGGCACCGCAGAAAAAGTATTGAGATTCATGCTCCTACAATATTAATGAGTCGGGCTTGAATCACACTTGAGTCATCTTTCCATGACTGATTGAAAACTCTTGGGGTGTCTCTTGGAAATTTAAAGGTGTTTAACAATAAAGTACCCTTTTTTAATGCATTTTAGAAATCTAAAGTTATATTAAGCTGTCCAATGCCACACTAAATATTTTTACATTCTATAAATTATTACAATTTTCTTCCTCAGCATCTCCATTCTGGATTGTAAAATAAATGTGTGCAAAAATATGGAATGTGCCTTTCCCGACAAAATAGCTCTTTTAAAGAATCTGATCACTTTCCAAGATTATTTCAAGCTTTTGGGGGGATTTCTAGGGAAACCAAATGGTGAATGGGACTTAACTTTGCTTCTTTGGTCTATTTAATTTTGTCCCTCACACTTACTTTGTGGAGACATTTTTTGCAACAGAAAATTGTGCAAGCCCTTTTTCCCACTAACTGAAAGCAGCCAGGTGCTTCAGATTTTTTACAGTCATGAGTTTATCTACCATCAGGTATTTTTATGTAGTGTAAACATTGGCTTATTGATTTCAGTTATTTTTTGAACTCTATGAGGGTGGTTTTCCATTTGCAAGATAAAGGTATAGCTAGAACGGAATGTATTTTGTGTGAGCAGCGGCACAACTGGTTTGTCGGTAGCGATGATGATTGAAGGTGGGCTATGGAGTAACCTTTTTTTATATCTCCACAGAGAATGTTAACAAGAAAAAATCCAATGGCTTTTTTGCTTTATGCTACTGGATCTGAATTCCTATAGGTCCCAAATCTGAACTGAGATTAATGCTCTCTGATCCCATGCAGTTGGCAATCCAGGTTATTAGCTCTCAAAGTGAGAATTCAGTGGTAGTGGGAAGTATGACCAAGGTTGTCAGTAACCCGAATGTCAAGTAGATGCAGATTAATTCTAGTTGTATTTTTAGTTTTAACCTGAGGAGGTAAGACAATCCCAGAGGGCAAGTCAATTGGTGCCACTGTTGAACCTCTTCAAGTGAGAAGACCCTGACAATGAAGGGAGAGGTCAAAATTGCTCCTTGGTTGGCTGCTGTGTATTTGGGGGTATAGCTACCCATGCATTAACTGCCATCCTTTATCTCCCAAAGTGGTGCCTGTTCTTCTTGGTTCATCTAGCATCTCCCTTTGGCGTTGATCTCAGGACATACCTACCTCAAACTGGGATGCTGGTCCTTTTCAAATCCCCTGCCTAAGTATAGTGAGATCAATTGTAATCATTAACATTTAATAATAATAATCCTTGCATTTGATATAGCGCTTTTCACGTCGGGAGGACGTCCCAAAGCGCTTCACAGAACACACTGTAAAGTGAATTGACTGTATATTTGTGGGCGAATGCGGCAGCCAATTGCGCACAGCAATGTCCCACAAACAGTCGTGGATTGAAAATGACCAATTTATTATTGTTTTTGGTTTTGGAGGGATTATTATTAGGTGTGTGGAGTAAGGAAACTTGCCCAAGGTTTCGCCCTGACCTGCCTGGAATTGAACTCAGGTCTCTCGCTTTCAAAGCGAGTGCTCTAACCACTGAGCTACAGGACTCCATTTCCCTTTTCTTCTCTCCACGCTCCCACCCCCGCAGACTGCGGCTGGTTTGGACAAGCTAAGTCAGCAGCCCAAGGCTGAAATGGGAATCTTCATATAGTACATTTACCTACCAAGTCCTCAGTATGGTTTTAGGACTGTTTCAGTTGGAGATTTTATGGGCTTCAAGATACATTGGGATTGATATCCTAGAGGAGTATGGAAATACTGCATTGCAAGTGACAGTTGCAGAAGTCTGTTGCAAAGGCTTGTAAAATGTCACAAAATGCTTACTAATGTCTTCCCTAAATATAAATGTTGGAACATTATGTAATGTACACTATGAAGATTTTTGTCCTATGTTTAGTAGGCAGTGCACTTAATGATGCTATTTGAGAGTGGGACGTCTTCCAAAGTGGAAATGTGGCAATGCCGTTTTTTTTCCCTTTTTTTTCTTCCCCTTTTCTTGAAAGTAGTTATTCATGATTTAATGCAAGCTGGGAGGTTGGCAAAGTACCTCAGCCACGTAGTATAAACTCAGTCAGTGCTGTCATGGTGAGCTACACAGTTAAACACGATCCTGCACACAGCATCTCACCCACTTGTTCCCAGCATGTATGATCAGTGCATACCAAGGAGTCCTTTTGTTTTATTTCTGTAGGTGTGGGCTTATAGTGGTAAGGTATCCCGACTCAGATTAACTAACTCCTCGCAGACCAAGGCTAGAATCTGCAGCTTTCTTAGTCTTCAGTGCCACACGATGGATCATTGACTACGCCATATCTAAAGATTATTGGTTTCTGTGAAAAGAATAAACTGAGAAGAATAAATTGCCCACATTGTTGAGTTTTGAAAACCTGGAGGTACAATACAAAATTACATTTGTATTGTAAAGCGCTTTTCATGTCAGGAGCACGTCCCAAGGCGCTGATCAGTCAGAGATTAGGGTTATTGATTTTGGCAAGGGTTGGGATCAGGAAGGGTTGGGATCAGGGAAGGTCCAGGGTAGGGGGTTAGGAGGGTGGCCGAAGGTCGAAGCAGGGTCTTGAGGCGGGTCTTGAAGGAGGCAAGGGGGGGAGCTAGGCAAAGAAAATGTGGGATGGAGTTCTCGATGGTTGGGGCAGAGAGGCTGAAGGCCCGTCTACCAATTGTTAGGCGAGTGGGGGACATGGAGCAGGCCAGAGCCTGCTGAGCGGAGGCAGCGGACAGGTTGATAAGGGGTTAGCAGGTTGGAGAGGTAGGAGGAGACAAGGCCATGGAGAACCTTGAAGGCGAAAATGAGAATTTTGAACTTGATCCTCTGAGGGACAGGGAGCTAGTGGAGCTGGGTGAGGATGGATATGTTGGGGTTATGGAGCCTGGTGTGGGAGAGGATGCAAATTGTAGAGTTTTGGTTGATCTGCAGTTTGTGGAGGGAAGAGTTGGGAAGGCTGACAAGCAGAGTGTTGGCACAGTCGAGCCTAGTTGTAATGAAGGCCTGGTTGGGATGACCTAAAATTGAAAAATGTAAATTAACCTAAAACTGTGTTTATTTCTTTGTTGCTTGCCTGTTTGTGGGCAGTTTTTTTTAAAAAAGTTTCAAACAGACCAAGTTATGCCATAGCCTGGAAAATGTTGACAGCAAACTTAAATATAGCAACAAATGTTAATACATGGCTTGAGTTGGATTTAAACATGGCACAAATACTGATGTGGTTTCACAATCTGCAAAGCATCTTATTTGTTAAAGAATTCAGATGAGCACTGTTATTATCAAAGGCATGGTTATTGCCAAGGACTCACAGTGACGGTTGTCTGAATTATAAATAGAAAAGCTGTTTTTCACTTTCCCACTAATTTTGGTGGATATTGTAGTGTCTCTACCCAAGGACATTTATTTTTGTTTTATTGTCCAATTACAGGATTTCCAAAGCTCGAGCTGATGTTGCTGGGGAGTATCTGTGTGTGTTCACCTTTCAAACGTCCCCCTCAGCCAATGCCTCGATCGAAATCAAAGGTAAGCAGTCTTGTGTTCTTTTGAGGAGCCCAACTTTCTGAGGATTTTTCAAAATTATTGTACCAGTTTAGTGTTGGTCAATTGGTGATGATTTAGTGTTATTGGTCCCTAATCTTTGCCTACCTCATTTATGAAATGAAAGGTTTTCTACTGTATTTACAAACTTACTTTGCAAAATGATTTGCTTTGCCTTGGTTAGGATGAAGAGGAACCTTTTATATAAAAAAATGCTGGCCATTATTTTGCATTATTGCTCGTTTGTATTTCCAGTTAGTTTAGCTGTGGAGATGCCTGTCCTTCATTTGCCCTTCACAGTTTTCACATTCATGCTGGTTGTAATTTGAAGCCCTGAATGACAGATGGTAGATGAATATTAAGCCGTTGAATCCGGTTTCTGCATTACTGACGAACGCCTTAATGTCCCCTGGCTTTCAAATCCATTGTTGTCACTTTTAAGTAATCCACTTCCACGTGTGCTACACTATCTATCCTGAAAACAAAAGAAAAAATGAAATGTTAGGGATGCACAAGATCTTTTCCACTGGTTTCTCTTATTCTCTTACAATACCAGTGATGTATGAATCTTTTTAATGGCATTAATACCCACATGTCCTGCAATTCAATATGGCTTTATTGATACTCTATGACCTAGAACTGTTTTTATCCTTTGTAATCTGAGAATAGAATCAAATGCGTGGTGTCATATTGCTGCATCAAACAGAACTCAATGCTTGTGGTGCCATGAGGATATTTTCAGCATCAATGATCTGAATCACCTTAGCTGAATGTGATAAGGTGCTATAGTAAATGCAAGGATTATAATTATTTACTGACTTCATATGGGGGGATCTCGGCCCATAATTTTTTTAAAAAACAAGATAAATACAGCGAGCTGGTAGTTGTATTCGGCCCCTCACTGTTGGTATTGTGCAGCATAGGCATGACAGGCCCTTTTAAGCTTTGGATAACAAAAGTTGACTTGCCAATATTACTGAGCCAGGACAATTTGATGTATTCATTTACTAAATGATGCCAATGAGCTCGGTTTTTTAGCACTAACACATTGGTGCAAAGTGCAGAAAGCACATTTAACTCGAGAGTGGTAAAATTGTTTTAAATTTTCCCAAATATTTATTTGTTTTACTAGCCAATTAGCCAGTTTAATTTGTTAAGGAACTCAGGTGAGCAGCGTTATTATCAAAGGCATGGTTATTGCCAAGGACGGGCAGTGAATGTTGCCTGAACTATTAATAGAAAAGCTGTTTTTCACTTTCTCACTGATTCTGCCCAAGGACATTTATTTTTGTTTTACTATCCCAATTAAGGGATTTCCAAACCACAAGCTGATGATGCTGGAGCGTATCTGTGTGTGTTCACCTATCGTTGAGCAAAGAATCATTCCAACAGTCATTTTATTTTAATTATTCCAGCAATCACTTTATTTTCTTAGTTTTCTCCTATAGTCTGCAACCAATCTGGTCTAATGTCGCACACTGCACTCTCATTCTGTTCTGTTACATATAACTTGATCGTGATACCAATCAGTTGCAGGAGTCTACATAATCCCTTCTCAAGTACATATAAGGAGCAGCAAATTCTTTTCTGACGTACTGTGGTTCAACGACTCTTGATAATATGTGTACCTAAATCCCTTGATGCATTTAATTCATTTGATAGATGAAAAAAATCTTTTTTTAAATAGAAACATGCCCAAGATATGCTGGGAGCTGTAGATCATTGTGGTCTCTCTGTCGAAAGTCTGTTTAATTTCAAATGTTATGTGTTTACAGAGTGATTGAAGTTTTATTTCACAAGGGCGATCATGTTGTTAAATGTAAATGATTAGCATTCCGAAGAGTTAATTACTGGGTACTAAAGTAAATAGATTTAGAGTGGTAAAAGCACTGAGGATTTAACATAGAGTATATATACTGCTCAGCATGAGTTCATCAAAGGCTACTTCACTGATCCATTTAGCAATACTGCACCCCTTGTTTCACTGTAAACCGCTGACGATCTGGTTCAACCTTGATGCTAGCTTTATTTTCACAGATCATAGAGCTATTTTCTTTGAATTTCAAACCAATAATAATCCTTGTATTTGATGTAATGCCATTATAAAGCACTACACAGCATTTTTGCTGTAAAGGGAAGTGACTCTTTATTGTATAGCAAATATGGCAGCCAGATTTGCGCACCACAATGACCCACAAACAGACAGGAAATGAATGACCAATTTTATTTGGAGGATTATTGGCTACTAAGAAAACCTCCCTTTGTTTTAATAGTGAAGTGGGATCTTTAACATTCACTTGAACACTCAGACGGGACCTCAGTTTAACCTCGGTTTTATTAGAGTTCAGGCTCCTTCCTTGGAGGAAAAAAAAGTTGCCGTAGAAATAGCTGGAAAAGATCTTTATGGTTAGGTTTTTGTTTGGAGGTGATATTTACAGTTTTTGAAATTGCCTATTTTTAACTAATTGTTTTTGGAAAGAAAAAGTAATGAATAACAGACACATTCATAGTTAGTATATAAGTTACAAAGGTTTTTTATGCTGCTAGTGCATTTTTACCAAATTTCTCCATCATCATTATTAATTCTGAATTTCGCATAGAGCCTTTTACATCGGGAGGACATCTCGGAGCTTCCCAGGATTTACTGTATAGTGACTGTAATTTGAAGGTGAACATCTTAGTAATGAAGACCACTTTCGGTGCCCAACTGAGATACCAATAGATTAGGACTATATTCCACAGCAAGCATTTAGTAGAGGTTCCTGTTAGTTCAGAAATATGGCATCTGGTAAATTGTAGGGTTTCTGATGGGTGTTTCCATCTCTGTTTGTGAAGCTTCAGAAACTTTTAACTTCAGATGCAGCAGTTGCTGAGCACCTAATTTAGTTGTGACGTTTCCTGATTGATGCAAACCTTGGGGTCAAGGCTATTCAGTAGCAGAGTCTTTTATGGTACGTTGGTTAATGAGACTAGCTGTTCCTGGGTCGGGTATGATTAGCGCTCCACACGCTCCACAGAATGGATGGAACGATATTGCTGAGCTGGAATTTTCCTCACTCTAGTGGAAATGGAGTTCGTACAATATCGTGGAAAGCAATTCATAATAATCTGCTTCACACTCTTAGATACAAGTCTGGAGCTTTTCATTTGATAGCATTGTGGAGCTCACACCTTAGTACCAATGGTGTTGGAAGTAAATCCAATTGCTGTATGTGGTATCACTTTTGATTAAAGTGATGTAAATCTGAGGAATATTCTAGTTTTGATCCAGAGTCACATTTGCATCATGCTCACACTGGTATTGCAATTAGGGTTACAAACCTAGTGCTCTTTCTGAATCTGGGGATTTCGTGATTTTAATGACCCAATTTCCAAATCTTGCCTCAGAAAACTGAGGAGGGTGGGGGGGTGGGCAGCAGACGAGATGGAGAGAGAGGGAAAATAATGCAGCATTGGACAGAAAGTGACATTGCTGCTGATTTTTTAAAAAAAGTGGAAGTATTGCTTCTGGCTTGCAAAGGTCACTTCAAATTACGAGGGGGAAAAAGCCTTTTAGCAGTTTTGCAGAGGCTCAGTTTGAATCCAATTTCCTGAATCCAATCCCAGGATTCTCTTCTATAAATCCCAGGATTGTGGAGCACCGTTAGCGTATGGGAAACACAACCCCTGATTGATTTTAGTGGTTTGAAATCCACTTCTAGGTGTCGGCCACACATCCTCCAAACCAGCAGAGTAGCTGAGATTGAAAACTGAAAGATTCAACTGAAAAAGAATTAATAATGATTTTACCTTCTTGAAATAAATTCTGTACATATTGGCTGATGATTAGGTATTTATTTTCAGCGGCTCCTGACATAATTGGTCACAAGAGGAGCGAGAATAAGAACGAAGGCCAAATTGCTCTTCTTTACTGTAAATCGGTGGGATACCCTCACCCTGTGTGGACCTGGCGTAAGAAGGTGAAAGGAGAATTTGCGGTGAGTCCACCAAGCTGAAATAATAATTCTTATATTTGATATAGTATCTTATCCCCTCCTCTTCACCCTCTTCATGCTTCCCCCTTGGTAACATCATCCGCAGACATGGGGTAAATTTCCGCGTGCATGCAGATGACACCCAACTCTATCTCTCTGCCTCTACCCTCAACTCCAGGACTACTGGCGTCCTGACCGACTGCCTGTCCGACATCAAGTCCTGGACAAGAGACAACTTTGTCCAACTCAACGTCAGCAAGACCAAGGCCCGCCTGATTAGCTCGCGCCAGAGCCTCCGCACCTCGGACGCTGGCAGCATCAACCTCCACGGCTGCACACTCAACCTCACTTAGCCAGTCAGGAACCTTGTTGTCTTATTTGACCTTCAACTGTCCCTTCTCCCCTACATCCGCACTATGACTAGCACTGCCTACCACCACCTCCGCAACATTACTAAACTCCGCCACTGGCTCACCTCTCAGGCTGCCCAAACCCTCACCCACGCATGCGTTACATCAAGGCTCGATTACGGAAACTCTCTCCTCATCGGCCTTCCCAACTCTTCCCTTCACAAGCTGCAGATCATCCAAAACTCTGCAGCTTGTGTACTCTCGCCCTCTAGGCTCGGTGACTCCATCACTCCCACCCTCGCCTGACTCTACTGTCTCCCCATCCCCCAGAGGATTAAGTTCAAGATCCTCATCCTCACTTTCAAGGCCATCCATGGCCTTGCCCCCTAACATAACATAACATGTAGGAGCAGGAGTAGGCCATTCGGCCCTTCGAGTTTACCCCGCCATTCAATCATGGCTGATCTTCTAATCTAACTCCAGCTAATAACCTAACACTGCCTTATCCCCATATCCCTTAATCCCTTTTGCAATAAGAAATCTATCTATCTCAGTTTTGAATATGTTCAAGGACTGAGTGTCAACAGCCCTTTGGGGTAGTGAGTTCCATACATTCACCACCTTTGAGTGAAGAAGTTCTTCCTCAACTCAGTGCGAAAGGGCTGCCTCTGATTTTAAGGTTGTGACCCCTGGTTTTAGTTTCTCCAATCAGGGGAAACAATCTCCCACTATCTACTCTATCATGCCCTTTGATGATCTTATAGGTTTCTATAAGATCCCCTCTAATTCTTCTATATTCTAGAGAATATAGGCCCAAATTGGTCAGCCTATCCTCCTAACTCATCCCCTTCATCCCTGGTACTAACCTAGTAAATCTATGCTGCACCCCCTCCAAGGCAAGTACATCCTTAAATAACGATACCAAAATTGCACATAGTATTTCAGGTGTGGTCTCACCAGGGCCCTATACAGTTGCAGCAAGACTTCCCTACTCTTCTACTCTAATCCTTTCATAATGAATGCTAACATACCGTTCGCCTTCCTAATTGCTTGCTGCACCTGCAGAATAACTTTCTGTGATTGGTGTACAAGGACACCCGAGTCCCTCTGGACGCTAACACATTTCAATCTCTCCCCTTCTAAAAAATAACCCGCTCTACTGTTTTTTCTCCCTAGGTGGATGACTTCGCACTTCCCTACATTATACTTCATCTGCCACCTACCTGCCCAATCACCTAACCTATCCATGTCTCGCTGCATTTTTTTTAATGTCATCCTCTGTGTTGACACTTCCTCCTAGTTTTGTGTCATCCGCGAATTTAGATATGTTAACTTCGATGTCCTCATCTAGATCGTTGATGTAGATGGTAAATAGCTGAGGCCCAAGGACTGATCCTTGTGGTACTCCACTAGCCACATCCCGCCAAGCTGAAAAGGACTCGTTTATCCCTACTCTTTATTTCCTACCTGTTAACCATTCACCAATCCACGTTAATATGCTCCCCCCAATTCCATGGGCCCTTATCTTTTGGACTAATCTTTTATGCGGCACCTTATCAAATGCTTTCTGGAAGTCGAAATAGACCACATCCACTGATTCACCCTTAATAATAATAATAATAATCCTTGCATTTGATATACCGCTTTTCACGTCAGGAGGACATCCCAAAGCGCTTCACAGAACACACTGTAAAGTGAATTGACTGTATATTTGTGGGCGAACGCGGCAGCCAATTGCGCACAGCAATGTCCCACAAACAGTCGTAGATTGAAAATGACCAATTTATTATTGTTTTTGTTTTTTTGGAGGGATTATTATTAGGCGTGTGGAGTAAGGAAACTTGCCCAAGGTTTCGCCCTGCCGGGAATCGAACTCAGGTCTCTCACTTATCTAGTTTACTCAAAAAACTGAGATTTGTCAAACATGACTTCCCTTTTGTAAAGCCATGTTGACTTGGCTTATTATATTGTGCTCCCCTAAATACCACACTACCACATCCTTAATCAATGATTCTAAATTTCTTCCTATCACTGATGTGCGACTAACTGGCCTATAGTTACCCATATTTTCCTTTCCACCTTTTTTAAATAGTGGTGTGACATTTGCAATCTTCCAATCCATGTTCCAGAGTCCAAGGAATTTTGAAAGATCAAACACAAGGCCTCCACTATCTCATAAGCTCCCTCTTTTAAAACCCTGGGATGCAAAAAGCCATCCGGACCAGGGATTTTTAGTGCTTTTAGTACAGTTTCCCAAGCACCAATTCTCTGCTAATGAAAATTTCCCTAAGTTGCTCCCTGTCCTTATCCCTTTGGTGCATCTCTATTGTTGGCAGACTTGTGTCTTCTAGGATGAAGACAGATGCAAAGTACCCATTTAGGGACTCTGCCATCTCCTTATCCCCCATTACAACTTCTCCTGTCTCTGACTGAAGTGGACCTACATTTACCCTCACCAGCCTATTCCTCTTAATGTATTTGTAAAAACTTTTACAATCAGGCTTAAAGTTCCCAGCGAGCTTACCCTCATACTCCTTTTTCTCGCTCTTAATGAGTTTTTTAGTTTTTTTTGCTGGTTTCTAAAACTCTTCCAATCTTCAGATTTGCTGCTTTTCTTGACAGTTTTATAAGCCTTTTCTCTAGTTAGCCACGGATGAATTCCTTTCCCTGGAATTTCGCAAGGGAATATGCGACCGCTGAGAATTTTGCACTACATCCTTAAATATTTGCCCCTGTTGGTCTACATTTTTACCTCTTAATCTTATTTTCCAGTCTATTTTACCTAAATCTTTCCTCATACCTACAAAATTATTTAGCTTCAGAATACTTGCCTCGGATATAACTATATCCCTCTCTAACTTAATGCAGAATTCAATCATATTGTGATCACTCTGCCCTAGAGGAGACTTAATACCTACACTACCAACTCGCACTGTTTCATTACACAAAACAAGGTCTAGGATGGCCTGTCCCCTGGTCGGTTCCTCGGCTGCTCTAGAAAGCTATCTCTCATACACTCAATGAACTCTTCTTCTAACCTACTTTTGCCGATTTGGTTTTCCCAATCTATGTGGAGATTGAAATCACCCACTATTATCGCTTTACCTTTCCTACATGATCCACTGATTTCTTGATTAATACCTTGTGCTATATTATGATCACTGTTTGGGGGTCACTCCCATTAATATTTTCTGCCCTTTATTATTTTTTATTTCCACCCATATTGTCTCGACCTCCTGGTCATTGGATTTCAGATCCTTCCTCTCCACTGCTTTTATTTCATCCTAATTAATAGGGCTAACCCCTCACCTTGTTTCCCACAGTGCCTATCTTTCCTGTAAACTGAGAACTGAGAACCCTGGAATATTTAACTCCCACCCTAGATCTCCTTGTAACCATGTTTCAGTGATGGCTATTAGATCGTGCCCATATGTGTCTATCTGCTTTTAATTCATCAGTTTTATTCCGAATGTCACGTGCATTCAGATTTAACATTTTTAATTTACTACCATTTCCTATACTCTCTGATTCCTTATCTACTTTGCCAAGCTTCTTACCCCTCGTTAACATATTCCTATTATCTGGCATGCTATTCTGCACTGTCATCCTTACTTTTTCTAATGCTAACTTTGGTTTCTCTTACCTATATATTCCCCCCTTTACTAGTTTAAATTCCTATTTATCTCCCTGTTAATTCGTTTAGCTAGGACATTTGTCCCTGGCGCTCTATAAATGTAATTTTGTTGTTGTTATTTGTCAAATTGCAATTGATTGACAGTGGACTGCAGTCAATCACAAGTGGCTGGAGTTTAGCTGTCAATCAGTGAGGGCGGGGGCAGAGGAATGCATAAGAAACAGGGAAGGAAATTGGAGCAGTTGAATTGCGAATGATTGATAGCTGGTGCCGCTTGTGAATGCTTAAAACGCTTCACAGGATTTACTGTAAAGTGTAGTGAGCGAGTATTTTGTCGATGAACACTACAAGGTCCCATAAACAACCATTAATTGAATGACAGTCAATAAACAGCTAAAAGTGGGCTAGAAACCAGAAAACTTGACTTCTTTAGGAATCTGCAGGTTGGTGCAATGTTAATGTTCTCATTCTGCTTTTTGTCCCTCTTTACAATAAATTGTGTCGAATCTCTTTGAAACGTTTTGACAAAGTATTAAGGTGCTATATCAAACACAAGGATTATTCCAAATACCAGATATGTAAATATTTCCACATGTAATAAATGACTTTTAATAACGAATCTACTACCATCCTCACGAAAATAATGAATCGCCTAATAATTTACAAAACATGCGGCACAGCCTCATGAGAAAAGGCAACTTTGAAACTGGGGTTCCTAAAGCTTTCCACCACTAATGGCTTTTCCTCGCCTCATGCCTGAGTCTGTTGTAGATTAGTTGATAAGAGATTGATTACCTTGATTAGTCACCATCACCATTATTATTATAGCACGTAACTACCATGATGGTAGAAGGTGAACGAGGTGGACTTAAGTTTTTTTCCATCAACAGTTCCTATGAAAAGTATTCAAACAGTTAATAACTATCCTTGTATTTTATATAGCGCCTTATCACGTCTTTGAGACATTTCAAAGCGCTTCACAGAGTATACTGTAAAGCGAATTGACTATATTTTGTGGGTGGAACTCGGCATCCAATTATGCATAGCAGTGTCCCACAAACAGTCGTGAATTGAGTGTCCACATTATTACTTAAAAAAAGTTAAGGGAGAAGCTATCCACCAATTGACTGATAACTAGGTTCCTATTTACTGCTAGGTAAACAGGCATGTGGAGTATGGAAACTTGCCTTAGGTTTCACCCTGCCTGGGATTTGAACCCAGGCCCTCCAGCTTGCTAGGCGAGTGCTCTCACCCCTAAGCTACGGATCTCAGTTTATTTTGACCCATTTTCATTAATCTGGGCCATCCGTGAAAATTTGTCTGTACAAAAGGATGAAAAATCGGGCCATCTGCAAAAATATTCACACAAGTTAACTTCCTTTTTAAACTGAATTGATGCCACCTAGTGACAAAGCCAGTAAGTCTCGAGAGTGAGGGTGATTTGTTTAAAATGCATTCTTTTGTTTTGTTTTTTTGCAGTGCTAGGATATTGAAAGTGGCAGAAATTTTATTTGGTGGGGTTGCCTGACGTCTGATGTGAGGGTACTTTTGCCGTGCCTGACTCCTGTGTGTTGAGAGAGAAAGAGAGAGAAAGAGAATTCATGTTGTGGAATCTCGAGGCCAAGGAGTTTGGAGACCCCATCACAAGCAGGAAGGACCTTTTCATCAAGAATCAGGACAATTACACAGAGCTAAGCATTGAGAACCTGAGGTCCTCTACCTTCCCATAGCCAGAAACTCTAGTCATATCCGCCCCCCACAATTAGGCCAAAGCATTCCCTCTTCCCACAGTGTGTGGAAAAATTGGCTGGTCAGGGCAGAAGCTTTTTGAGAGGATAGTTAAATTCGTTTTTTAATTGCCAAACTAATTCCTGTCCTGTCACATTGATGCAGACTAACATTTGTCAAGCCATCCTCTTTTCAGTCATTAGAAATCATACCAGCATTGTAATACCAATGAGCAAATCTCCATTCGTTCTAACTATGTGTGTCGCTAGATTGCATCCTTAAATTCAATAGAAGTGTTTTGTTGTACCATTATTCTTGCCGCAATTGTCTTTGGCTTTTTTTCCCTTCACAAAGTATTAAGCTGTTTTCCATTTTTTAAAAAAAAGGCTCTTTTTTTTAATCTCGTGCTAGGAACTGAATAATTCTACTGGCCGTTTTTACATCAACAATAAAGACAACTACACAGAGCTTGTCATTGAGGACCTTCAGCTCAATGAAGATCCTGGTGAATATATGTGTAACGCCACCAACCATATTGGATCCCAGTCCTTCGTCACTATCCTACGTGTACGCAGTAATCTCGCACCCCTCTGGCCATTTCTGGGGGTTGTGGCAGAAATCATCCTGCTGACTGTCATCATTGTTGTGTATGAAAAGCGAAAGAGACCTGATGAGGTTCCCGACGGTAAGTTTTATTTGCATCAATGTTTGCTTTCTCAACTTAACCCATTTGATACTAACCTGCTAACTTGTTTTCATGCGCCTAAATACTCTTATTGCCCCTGTCTAGTATTCATTGGGTTATGGTTTATATTGTTTTATATATATATACATATTAACAACTCTTCCTTTTGTAACCTACAAAATTATTCCAGTCTTTTTTTAAAGAAAATGCTTGCACATTCTACAGGTAACCATCACAATCCATTTCATTCACGAGCTGTTTTTGCAGTTCAGCGGCACTTAACCTTGCGACTCACAACACATTTCTACAGCTATTATACGATATACTTTGGGTACGTGTATGTGGCAGGTTATCTTGTGTGACATTCCACGACTAATTCTCTACAGTGCATCCAAATGAGGTTGACACCGTAAATCATACAAGTGTGTGCAGTGCACCAAACTTGTAATACTTACCATACTTAACTTGTCATAGATCACATATTTCCTACTGCTTTTTGAGGAGACGGGGATAGTTTTGGGAACGGAATCTCTTGAAAGATTGAAAGGTTGGGTTATCAAATATTTACAGCAGAAGCCATTTGGTAAGAGAATTAGTGATCAATGTCATCTTTAAGCATCCGATCAATTTAGCAAAGTGTACATTTGACAACATCGGAAATCATTAGAAAATTGCAGATCTTGCTAAAGTAATGGTTAGATAGTTATGAAATGGAAAACGCAAAGCATTGCCAAAGCTATTCTATATCTGAGGGTTTATTTTCCTCTCCCTACTCCACCTCCAGAATAAACCCTCCCAGACTGTTGGGTGTGTGGTTGTCCAACACAAGCATTACAGCTGGAAAAATATAATGGATCAATTCAGAATATGTCCAGAAGTGAAATGCAAGAGCCAGAAATCAAATGGACAACCTGGTTTGTCTTTGAGATCTGTCAGAGAGTGAGATGCATCACAGTCCCTTTCCTAATGAGTGCATTGTGCATTTGTAACTGAACCACATGTTAGATCCCAGTATATTGGCATTCCTTCCTTGGGAAGTTGTTTGCAAAACAGTTATTCAATGCATGTGAATAATCAAGATTTCTTGTATCTCATTGGAAAATGACTGCTTAGAATCAGGACATTGAGTGACAAAGCAGATCCTGGAAGAAATATTACTGCACATAAGTGAGCCCAGGGTACTGAGGCTGGTGTTCATTGAAACTCCACAATAGTTTTCTTCTTGTTTCGATGTACAGTCATCATTATTATTGCTGTAGGGTACAATCATTATGTACAGTAGGATGTTGTTAATCCACATGCTAAATACATTTATGTGGAAGCGGTGATATCAATAATGTGTAAAGTTGCACACTTTAAGTGAAAGTGACAGAGAAGAGAAGGCTAGTACAGTGTAATACTGCAGTAGAAATCCTGATGTCGTGTTCAGTTATCTAAACTGTTTGCTTATCTGCAATGGAGCTGGCCCGTAGGAGCGTGGATGTTTGCCTCCTTTCCTTAGTATGTTGTAAAAGACCTGTTTCTAGGATATTTATTGTAGTCTCGTACTCCCTGTGTAGTGATGCATTTCTTTCCTCCGAACATCAAGTTCTTCAGATGTTCTGACCAATATTCCCTCCCATCTGAATTCACAAAATATTCGTCTAATTTCTGTTTGTGGGGTGTTGCTGAGGCAGTTGATCTGTTGTGTTTGCCTCCATGGGTTACTAAACATCTAACTACTCACTGTCTGAAGTGATGTTTTGAAGTGATGAAATCCAAATATGTATTTGAGTGTCTGACTAGTGCTTGCTTTTTCAGTTATACAATATGGTTATGGCACAGACTAAACTTATTTAATTTTGTTTAAATTTTATTACTATATCACACTTGGCAGTGATGCTCCTAATGTTTGCCAGTGATTTATGTAGTGAGGAACTAATCAGTTGCCAAAAGTGGAGGCTTAGCTTGAACAGCTAAATGAGTTTAGACACCCAAATCTGTCAGGATGGTGTGCAGAGCCCTGCTGTAAAACTGGAGTAGCCAATTACTCAATTACTGATTCTGGTTTGTGTTGTTCCATTATGTTGTTGTAGGCCTTAATATTGCATGCATTTTTTAAAAAAACAAACAGAATTTTGACGAGAGGATCTTGCAGATAGAACCCCAAATGGAAACTTCTGTTAAAGCTAAGTTGAACCATTTTTATGTTGTGGAGTAAGATATTGTGATTAAGTGGGGGAGGGGGACACTAATTATTGTCTAATTCTCTCAGAAGAGATGAATTACAGTTTTTCAGGTTTGAGAAGAGAGGCAGCAACCAGCGGAAACATTTGCCCGTTTGTGAAGAGGAAGACTAGTGTTACATTTTGATATTACAGGCGCTAGTTTTATATTGTAACCCTCTGGTGGTAAATTTAGAAGAACCAGAAACAAAATCTTACAGGACTTTAGGGTGTGGTTTGAATAAACTATAATCTGTCACAGAAACTTGGAAGCACTGAAATTAGAGAGGGCAAAACATTCAGTGTCAACTTTGTGGAACACATTGATTATAGACAATGTAAATATTAATTCAGTTGCCCTATTGTTGAATATTCCTTGCCCTTGGATATGTCAAACGTATGCTGACATAGTTGTCTTTCATATTAAATTACGGATGGTGCTTGTTCAGTGAACTGGTTGTGGATTTACACTGCTTTGACGCTTAGTGTTTGAAGTCCAGTTGATTGGACAATCAGCTATCTACTCAATTGTATCTTAAGAATTATTGTAGATGAATTTGCACCTGATGACCTGAAGATCTAGAAACTAGAATGAATTTTTTTCTCTTAACTTGTTATATCTCATGTGGATATTGCTGTTGTGGCAATGCTCATATAGGCTACATTATTTAATTAGACTTTGTTTAGAAAGTGTAGACTTTGCATTGAAATGGTATTCATTCATGCTTTTTTCATCGTAGTCAAGGAAGGCAAGTGAATACTCTGGCTTTCCAGAAGGGAAATGTCCATCCTTTTTTTTTTTTTATTTCATCAAGTTTACGCAAACTATTTTGGCTTCCAGCTGAAGTGGAGGTGGACAGGAAATTAGCTTCGGAGTTATAGATTGAGAATGCCGTCTATCATTTACGCCTTTGCTGCCTGCAGGTAACCTTGCAAAACTATTAGTCACTAATGGGAGATTGATTTAGTCAGAGTGTTGGCAAATCTTAATAAGGTAATGAATTTGGTGTCCGGTGAACCCATCTAAAGTCCTAGTTGCTTCTCTGGATTGCCTTCAGTTCTTGCAGCTGAGACATCTTCAGATTCAATGGCTGGAAACTGATGTTGTGTTCTCAAACCCTAGAGTAAACCAATCCAGTGTGCGAGACCACAGCTTAATTTAGTTGAGTTGAAATTTGACTGTATCCTTTATGTACTAAGAACAACATGCATAATTATTTGTCTTCTACATACTTAATGTAATAGGGTAATAGTATGTATAAAAAGTGTTTTATTTAATTAACAATGCAAACCCGAGTATAAACATTGTTGGAGAATGAAAGAAATATTCAATAGCTTTCACTTTTGCTTACATATTTTTTGATTTGGGGTTTAAATGCTCAAATGAGGGTCAGTTTAATTGGCCTTATGTTCGAGTGCTGAATGAGTTGTTTCAGTTGTTAACTGTGTAACACACAAGTTCTGTTCTTTTCAGTATGGATTTTTGAATTGCATAGCTGGATAAGAAAGTACTTTGAACGTGTAATGTCCAAGTCTAATTAACCAGATTTGGAGGATAACTTTGAATGAATTCTTGTTTTCTTATTATATATGAGCTCTTAAAACAAATTTCTCTATTTTATATGTCTGATGGAATTCTGTTTGCATTCATTGATGCAAATTGAATCTATTTATCCAGCAACTTAACACTTAGAATTGTTAGGAAAGCCTGTGTGAGTGTGCAGCTCCTGTAAAGATGTCCAATTTTTAGTGTTAGCACATCAATGGTTTCACTGAGGAAGCAGTTCAAAGTATATAACCAAGCCATGATTAGATTCAAGCTCCAAGCTAATCTACTGTGTTAAATCACAAGCAGAGCCAAAAAAAAACTTGCTTCCGGGAATGGGGCTGTGATTAAGCCTGCAAACACCTACTCGAGTTTGAAGCTGAAACGTTGGTTTTGAGACTTCAACTACTTCTGCTGTGAAACCTTTATTGAAATTCTCACCAGTGTATTTTGCTAACCGCAATGATGGCTGCCAAGTGATGCCATTTAAAGCTTCAAACCCAGAAATCCATTTTAAGCACCCATATATTCAAGTGGTGCATAATGATCACTTTTCATTGTGGAGATTTCAGAAAACACTGTTTCCTGTTTTCTGCTAAGAAATCTCTATTCCTGCAGTCTACACTGGGATAGGAAATTCAATCCAGGGCCAATTTAACATGGCTGCAAATCTCTCCCCCCCCCCCTCATGGAACAAAATTAAATACTGGACATCTAGAGGTGAGGGATTTTGCTCCACAATGGGCAGATTTGCTGCACTTTAGATTGCTGTACGTACTGCACCACAAAGACAAATAATCCAGCTTGTAAGCAGAATAGTTGAAGGGTTTAAATGAAGATGAATCAAACCAAAGTTTGTATGCTGAGATTTGTAGATTTATTTTAATTTTCTTGATTGGAAAAATGCAGCAGTATTTGACGTGGCATTCTGATGGAGGTGAATGAATGATGACCCTGCCATTTTTCTTCCAGTTTGCTTCTTTAACTTTTTCAGCAAGATTGTCACCCAACTAATTCTGCTACATCGGGCAGTAATCAAACCAGATTTTAAAAAGGGGCACTTCTTACACACAGCTTTTCCCCCTCGCACCCAGATTTTTGCATTGTTGCCAACAGTTAGTTGGTGAAATGTCTCGGGGTGGGGGAATATGCCACATATCCTTAGTGACTTCATTTTTATGGGATTTTGAAAGGAGCCTTTGAACTCAGATATGCCAGTATTAACATTCATTATGCACTTAAATGGAGGA